AGTTAAGTGAATAAATAAAGCGAATAAATCAAATTCCCTTCTGCAAACAGCTAATCCATTGAGAAACAGAAATCACACCGTTCCCCCGTGCCCAAATTCTCTTCCACAGCCCTTTTGTCACCTCAATCCCAATCCTTGGTTTTGCTGCTAAACCCTAAAACCAAGAGCTTTAACCCCTGCTGGCCTGAAAACAGCTGATTTTTGGGGCAGCCTGCACATTTCCATGTGGGAGAGCACCCTGGGAATTCTCCTGGAGCTCCCATGGGGAGCTTGGTGGGATTTTCTCCCAAGGAGATTTGGCCACCACAGCTCCCCAAACAATTCTGTCCCAGCTGTGATGTGGCCACCTTCATTTATATATATATTTTTTTTTCCATGGTGGATCAGCCAGATTGGAAATTCCAGAAAGGAAACTCCTGTCTTCTAGCCAGAAATGGGGTTTTCAGGTTAAAGTTCACCTCATAAGCAACCCAAACATTTTAGATTGTTTCAGCTCCAAAGCCAAGAAGTCTTAAACCAAGGAAACTTGTCTGTGATGGTAATTTTGCCCAATCCTCACATATTAGGGTTTAGGTGGTTTGGCAGCGAGAGGAGAAATTAAATTGTCCCTGTTAAATTTAGGATTTCATGCTCCATCTCACAGAAGATTTGTCCTGAGTGTCCAAACCCTGCTGGGTTTTCTTTTTTTCCCCCATGATCCAAATCACATGAGGCTGCACACCAGCATCTCCTAGAGCTGCACAGAGCTGTTAATTGCCATAATTAAAATGATAATTAAAACGATGCACCAAGTTTGGCTTCTCCCCACCAGATGCTTTCAAAACTGCTTTGGGCTGAGAAGGTTTGGCAGCTGCCTTTGATATCAGAATTCAATATTAATGCATGTTGTGATCAACTGAGACTCGAGTCTGGCTTAATAAAGCTTCAATAAAAAGAAAAAAAAATTTATATATAGATTTATAAAAAATGGATGTGCACATGCACACTCACATCTTCCTGCTGCATCCTCATTTATTTTCTGCCTTCTCCTTCACGAGCAGCAAAGCTGAGCTCTGGTGCTGCTTTTCCAAAAACAAAGTTTCACCAAACTTCACCTTCAGCCAGAATTTGTAGCTGAAAGCGTCTCAGCTTTAGGGTTTGCCTGTAGGGATTGCCTTTGGGATTTGCCTTTTGTGTTTTGTTCCTGTTCCACACAGGCTGGGAAGTGCCCGCAGGGATTCAGCAGCCAGGTCGTGCCTCAGGCTGGGCTTGAGTGGCTTCCTCAAAAAACTTCCTTTTCCCTTTAGCAGGGACAAAAAAAGATGGGGAAAAGGGTAAAACATGGGAATTTTGGAAGGGCAGAATGAGTTTGTAAAGCTGAGCAACAGCAGAGGGATTTGGATTTTTTTTAGCATTTTTTTAAATTCTGCAACATTTCCTGGTTGCTGTTGGTCCTTTTGGAGCTGCCTTAGCGATGGGCTGGTTCTGTTCTCATGGGAATTGTCAGGTTATTCCCAAAATTTTTGCACTGGGAAGAAATTTGGGGTGGAATCTCCTTTCCAATCTCCTTTCCTTTTTTTTTTTTGGGAGAGCTGCCCAAACCTGGATGTGCCCGAGCGCTGTGGGAGCCACTTTGCCTTTTCCGTGGCCTCTTGTGGCATCTCCTGGGTTGGGGTGAAGGATTTGTGGCTTTTCCTTCGGAACCAAAGACGGGGAGAATCCCCATGGGACAGAGAGCAGCTGGGTGAGATCCCTGGAGAAATCCCTGGCTCTTGCTCTGCCCCAACGTTTTTGCAGGAAAATCCTGTTTTTCCGTGTTCTCCATGACAGATGTGGTGTGGGCTGGGGAGATCCAGCCGGCTCCAGGCCCAGCAATAATCCCTGAAAATGTTTCATTTCGCTCAGCTGTCTGGATTAGTAAAACACCTCTTCCATTGTGAGGCTGAGCTCATATCTTAAACTATTTTCTTGATGAAGTGCTTTCAAAAAAACCCCATTTATTACCATGTCCCTATTTCTATTTTTTTTTTTTTTTAATTTTTTTTTTCCCCCTGCTGGGCTCTGGTAGAG